GATTTGATCTCTGCTAAGCAGTCCATCAATAGCTGTAATGAGTTAACATTTGAATTGAGTGGCAGATAGATCTGTACATCGTCGGCGTAGCAGTGGAAGGGGATGTTGTGTTTTGTGAGAATTGAACCTAGGGGCAGTATGTACTGTAGAAAAAGGATGGGGCCCAAAATCGAGCCTTGGGGAACCCCACAGGTAAGAGGGGCTATGGCTGAGGAGAAGGCACCTAGCTGCACTGAGAAGCTACGGTCTGTCAGGTAGGACCTGAACCATGCAAGGGCAGAGCCTGTGATGCCAGCGGACTGTTCAAGCCGTGACAACAGGATGCTATGGTCCACAGTGTCGAAGGCAGCTGTCAGGTCTAACAGCACCAAGACAGCTGGGCTACCTGAGTTGGCGGCTAGGAGCAGATAATTAAAAACTCTTAAAAGGGCTGTTTCAGTGCTGTGCATGGGTTTGAAGCCAGACTGAAACTTTTCATGGATGCCATGCATGGTTAAAAAAGACTGCAGCTGGGCGTAGACTACTCGCTCCAGGGCTTTTGATAAAAAAGGTAGCTGGGAGATGGGCCTAAAATTTGCGAGAATGGAAGGGTCGAGATTTTTCTTTTTAAGTAGTGGCTTAACCACGGCATGTTTGAAGGCAGCTGGGACACATCCTGAGCTAAGAGAGGTATTTATAAGTAATAAAATACTTGCTCCAACTGATCCTAAAACATCTCTGAGAAGGCGAGAGGGAATGCTGTCTGAGGTGCAGTTTGTCGGCCGCAGGTGCTTGACTACATCCGAGAGAGAAGAGAGGGATACAGGCTCAAAGTGGTCGAGGACAGCAGGGCACAGAAAAGGAGCAGGATCTGGGGTAGCACTAGTGTGGGCTAGCCTAAGAGCAGATACTTTTTCAATAAAAAATGTAAGAAACTTATCACAGAGAGTAGTCGATGGCACAATTGGAGGAACATCACAGGGATTAAACACATGCTAAACACGCATACCATTGATACTTATAATCATAACATCTTTGATCCTTATCTTCTGACATTCTCTGGTCTCCAGTTGAAGAAAAAGAGACTCAAGGAGAAGATTGTGGCGGATGTTGGTGCTATTGTGCAGTTCCTGCTGGATGAGAGAGACTCCCTGCTTGAGAGCCTGGATGCTGAGGAAGTGGCCACCATGGCCGTCATCGACGAGAACCTGAAGATCGTGGAGACAGAGGTGGCGTCTGTAGACAAAGCTATAGCTGAAATCCACGGTCACATCGGTGGGAAAACTAGCTTTGAGGTCAGTCTAACACGCCTGCTCTCTGATGCCTCTGCTTGAGCATTATTGTAAGGATATATTTGTCATAGATGTATAGTAACAGTTGGTATGTAATAAGAAGCAATGGCTGAAATAAACCTAAAAACCACCACCAATTGTACATAAGTGAAGTGTGTGTGCTTGTGTTTAATATTAATTGAAATATTACTTTTTGTTCTTCCAACAGAGCCTTGCTGAGACACACAATGAGTAAGTAGCTTACAGTTTTGTATTTTATATGAACCTTATACAAACTGTTTATTTATTTATTGAGCAAAAATGAACCTTTTATACTTGTGTTTTTCTCCTACAGAGTCATCCATTGCAAGCCGTTCAAATCCCTCGACACCGTTAATTGTGCGACTGAGTTCACAGACTTCTCCGGGCCCTTCCAGCTCATCATGTGGAAGAAGATGATGCACGTGCTGCATACTAGTGAGTTTACCACACCATGCATGTTTGACATCTTATTACCCTAAGACAACTTTTGCTTCCTTGGACATAAATGTCAAATTGGATTCCTTAACTTGTATTTTTTCAACTGTACTGCCTTCTTCACCCCGCTCTATGATCAAGGTGACCTAACTTTCCCCTCTCTTTCTGTGTAGTACCTCAGAACCTCACCTTGGACCCCGACACGGCTCACCTAAACCTGCTGATCTCAGACTTTGACACCAAAGTAGAGGAGGGCCATATTCGTAACCAGGAGCCCGACCTGCCGGCCCGCTTCACTCGCTTCTGTGGAGTCCTCGCCACGGCCCAGTACGCCAGCGGCCAGCACTACTGGGAGGTGGACGTGAAGGACAAAGGCGTGTGGTACCTGGGAGTCACCACTGAGGGCAGCAACAGGAAGGGCTTCGTCAGCCTCACCCCCTCCTCGGGGTACTGGAGCCTGTGTCTGCAGGACCGACTGTACGCCAACGGAGAGGACGGGCGAATCCCCGTGGCCGACTACTGGAACTCTCCTCGGGTCGGCGTGTACCTGGACTACGACAACGGGCGCCTCAGTTTCTATGACGCCGTCACAATGAAGAGACTGTTCATGTTTGATACCTGCTTTGAAGAGCCTGTCTATCCCTTCTTCAGCCCGGGGAAGAATGACCCCGGCAGCAGGCTGCAGATATGCCACTATTACTGAGAGATCTGAAAAGAGTCATGAAATCTAATTATCTACTGGTAAAATCGTACGCCATGGTTTTCAGATTTGCTGTTAATATGGTTTCTTCTCACAGTCTTGGATGGAGTGACAGGTGGATGTTGACCCTGTGTCTGTGTGATGTGCACATGTTTCCTGTTGGTCTTACTGGAGTTAGAACATGAGTTACCAGGTGTCTCATCACACTTTGGTTGATGTGAAGTGCTTACATTTTCTCATAAGGCAATTTGAAAATGTTAGATGTGGTTTATTTTAACCCCGGCACACACTGTAGGCTTCAACCCCTGGTGACTGGCTGCAGTCTGAGAGCTGCTTTGTTGTGTATATCACTGGTTGCAGTCATGCAGATGACTCAGATGTCAACGACTATGCCATACAATTACTGTACATTAACTTGTGTTGGCAAAAAATGTTGGCAGACGGGGTCAGTGGCCTTGGGTAAAACTTCATCAAGTATCACATTGATAGTTGATAGATTCATTATATAACAGTCAGTTCCATGCTCATAGTTATCAGAATTACTTGATTGAATTTGGCCAGATTGTACTTCCAGGAGAGAGTTGTTCAGGTTGTTTTGTCAACAGATCATTTTATCATCGTTTTTAAATCCCCTTATTGTATCTGTTTTTTATTCTGTATATTGCTTACCGTTTTGGAAGTTCCAAACTCCTCTGTATGTTACTCTGAAGCACATTTGTTTGTTGAGCAGTGATGCAGAAGGCATGAATCCGTGCCATTGTGCTTCGTTATAGCTATCATACAAATTTGAGAAAATGTCATCAGTCTGCTGGAAAATTAGCAGGTATATGACAAAGCAAACCATTTTGAAAAATGTAAACAATGAATTAAGATTAACAGCCATATCCTAAAATCAGTTGCTTAACTGGAGAGACTTTAGACCTTCTAACCAGCCAAGTGCCTGGTGGACTTGACTAAAATGTAAATTTACAATGTGCTGAATTACGTTTTTATAACTTGTTCAGTTTGCTTTTTACAAATTACCCTAGCATTGCCTTAATGATAGTTATTTTAAAATATTCCTGCTTGAGATTATAAATAGATAGTTGTTGAGATGGTGCTGATTGGTTTGAACTCCTGAACTTTTTCAACCAGTTTTCTATTTTTCTTTATTGAATGTAATATGTGTAACTATACAATCTTTTTCCTTCCTTAAACTTATGTTTTTAACATTCTTCTTTTAGATAGTTTTATTTTTGCTTGTGCAGTTATGGACCTACAAGCGACATGTCTTAAATTGTTTTTTTTGTAACGGACATTCACAATATTTATTATTCAGTTTATTAGATGTTTAAGATTTTCACTTGATGACTGCACAACTTTGTGCTCTTAAACTCTGAATATTTACTGATAAACATTGTGTCCAAGATAGTATACCTCATTTATACATACTTTTAGTTTCTCAAGGTTCAAGAGTTCTGAGTTTCATACCTGTAATAAGTTTAGCAGTGTTTGGGCTGTTTCTTTAAGTGTGACTTTAAAAATAAAATCTTGTAGTCCCTGTTTGTGGCCCTTTCACCTGCTTTAAATGTGCTACGTGTTTCTTAGACTGAACAATAACATTAAAAGAAGAAAAATTAAAGTTTTATTTTTCAAGAGTGTTATTAACTTTCCTCTGGTAATGTAAACCAAAACGAATTTTATTTAGGGATACATTTAAATGTATTTCGGACCTATGATTTCTAGATGCTGTCAGCCAGGTTTGTGTCATTCCATCGTTTTTAGATGTGGAAATTGACCTATTCAAAACTCTCAATGTTATCTTGAGAAAGTTCTTTTTTTTTTTCACTTTGCTACTCAAACGCAGTTAGTGTCTGCACTGCATAAGTTACTTGAGGGCTTTTTTTTTTTGTCCCATTCTGCAGCGTACTCTTTGCACTGAACAGGTTCATGCCTGCCTAGTGTAAGAGTTTTTTGCTATTTTGGTCCGACATTCTCATTAAACCTTTTGAGACGGTTTGGTGTTTCTTCAGTTTTCATACTGCCAGAACATTTAAGGAGGAGGTGAGAAAACGGTTCCCTCCCCCGCCGGCTCTGGTTATTTTTGCCGTTATTTTCGTAGAGATATGGTATCAACGAAGGGCTGGTTTTATAAATAGTTGCCCAGATCTTCCTAACAGAGGACGGTTAATGATCATTATGAGCACAAATTGTAATGGCTGCTTGTGTGACCTCTTATGTATTATTATATGTAACAGTTTCACAGCGGAGAACAGTGGTATTAAACCAAAGTTCCTGTCACGATGGGACTTCAACCCTTAACGAGACATCTGACTTCACTTATTTTGGTAAGAAAATGCATGAATATATTGGTTTCTGATAAAGTAAACAAGCATATGCCTTTATACCCATTTTAAGAATAAAAAACATGTACAGAAAAGGCATTAGTTTACTGAAGTCTTGTTGTGAAAACAAAATGTGCACAATATTTCATAGCGTATGACTTTAATATTTACAATTATACCTTTGCCATGATAAAAGTGATTACTACTTGTAAGATTGGCCTCTTGCAGTATACAGTAGGCCACACAATATGGTTTGTGTACTGTTTTGTTTACACAGTATGTGCTTCCTTTATTTCACTCAGACATGTGCAGTTACAGGTAAAACAAGGACACAAATAAAACCATAGGAACACACGCCATGTTTATGAATAAGGAAAGTCAAAAAGATCAGAAATAACATAGTTTTCCAGGAAAGGAGAAATGCAGATGGAAAGACTGGATTACAGATCAAATAGTTTATTCATACAATACAGGTAAAAACGTTCTGGTTTTAGCTTCGTTGTGTTTCTCAAGGAGATGCACAGAACACCTTTAAAACACTGAACAACCAAGAAAATGAATACTGGAAAAATCCATGATAAAGGTGCTTGTCAGCTACAACAAGAATGTGATTGTAATATACAGTACACTTTCTGATTATGTTTAATGATAACTATACACAGGCATATAATACTCTTGCAAACGATATAACTCTTATAATATTTGTACTTGTGCAATGTTCAACAACTTACAACAAAACGTTTTGGCCGAAGGAAAAGTTCCTGTAGTTCAGGATGTGAGCTCTGGGAAGAGGCAAAACAGCTTTCAGTGCTACAAGTCACAAGGCCTATGTACGAAAATGTTTGGCAAAGAGGATACAGTTCAAATGCACCAATTAGAAAAATAATTTGTAGAACAAATTATGTAGAAAAGAAAAGAAAAATAAATTAAGTATTTAGAAGAAAAAACATAGAGTGAGTATACAAGTTGTTCTATTAGTGTTTGCAAGCCATTCAGCTGGCTCCTACATGGCATGACCTTCAATTGTATATAAGTATAATGCTCCAGTGTAAGTGCTGTAATAAGTTGGTTAAATAGTGAAATAACATGGACACCCAATCCATATGTACACTTAAATATGCATACCGTATATATACACAACTACATTAGGTTGTAGATATGGAAACGGAACCATTGTATGAAGTTTGTTTTGGTTAATAGAAGAACAAAAGTAGTCAGATTTTGTGTTCAAAAACCTTGTTCTATCAACTGTTGTGCTTCTTGCTGCTCGTCTTTGGGTACCAAAACACATGTGCACATAAGTCAACTCATCTTACGCCATAAAAGAAAACAATAGTCTAAATTCAGGAGAAAAATAAGAAACAACTCTTTATACACATTACTGTCTTCGTGTGTTCTGTTGTGTTTGCTGATGAGAATTGAAGGCAGTGACAACAGGGTCATATCTTGGAGCACACTGACATGCAACAGTGTTCAAGGAAAGGCCTGAGCATGTTACTAAAAACACAAAGCGTCCTCAGAAAACAGGAAGTACACTCCTGCTTCTGTGTCTCGCCTTGGTTGCTGGTTGCTGAGTGTGTTGCCCAAAAGAAATAGCAGTGCATCACCTACTTCAGACTGGCACACTATCTACTGGTGAGGTCACACATAAAAGAGAAATAAAGCTGCAACGCCTTGTTCCAGAGGTTCATTCCCAGTTGATTTTCCCTAGTGGAATCTGTCAAAAACACTCAAGTAGACCGTGATCAGATAGAAAAATATGGATAATGGGATGTTTTATTCCTCATGCTTGTGAAAATGCATTCATTCTTAAAGGTCCCGTATTATACTCTTTGTGAACAATATATTATAGGTCTCAGATATATACAAAACATGTCTCTGAAGTATTTGGCTTGAAATACGAAACAGATATTGCCAAATACCTCTCTTGTTTCAGCCCTGTTCCAAAAGTGCTGATTTGGTGTCTGTAGCTTTAAATGCTAATGAGCTGCTGCTGGCCACGCCCCTCTGAGAGATGATTGGTTTAAAAAGAACACAATGGTGCTCTAGGAAAAGATTCAGGTGATAAAGTGGGGGGGTGTTACCTTGGTTTGTTATTGGCTACTGATTGCACAACCCCAAAAAACATTGTGACATCACAAAGTAGCCAAAATCTGATCAGCTCATTTTCATAAATCAGAACAGAAGAGAGAGAATCTTTTTCCTGAAACTTTCCGAATCACTTAAGACAGAGAGGAAACATATTTATGTATAAAAGACATAAAAAAGTAGATTTTGCATAATAGGTGACCTTTAAAACTTTATTTTCATCAGGGTAGCCTATTTTTTACAAAGGGAACTCATTTCATTTTTGGGGACTAATAGCTTATTTCGTTTTAGTGTTTTTGGTTGTTTTTCACGTAAACATCTTTCTCAGATTGCTTTGAAACTTGGAAATGTGATGGTATATATACTGTAAGTGTGCAGAGACTAAATGAAAAGGTAATGAATTTCTGGAACCTGGGACCAGTGTAGAGTGCAGGCCCGTTGCAGCTCCATGTCCCCGAGCAGTATGCACTGTTAACTTAGCAGGGGTCCGGTCTGGAGGTCTTCCCTCAGCCTACTGCAAATATCTGTAAACCTTAAAGCAGTGGTTTCCAGAGTCGGCCACAGCCACATGTCCATCTGAGGTGAGAGCGAGGCCCTGGGGCCCGTACAGAGGGTCTGCTGAGGTGTTGATGTAAGACAAGAAGGAGCCTGCACTGTCAAACACCTGGAATCAAAAACATAAAGGTACGTTTTCAGTGTTCATATCATAACGATCCATAGCATGAGCGACTGTAGTTTGCTGTACTGATGTCCTTATTGCTATAGTGTACTTTAATTGTTAAGTGTTTCCTGTTGTTAATAATTTAATGTTAATGTTTTCTTTGTAACTACTATATTTCTCATTACTGATAAACAATGCTATATTAAAGAAAACGTTCAAAGTTGTGAGGTTTATAGAATATTGCCTGTTTCACCTGTATTCTGCTGTTGCCCCAGTCAGCCACAATGATGTTTCCATTCGCGTCCGCGGCCACTCCAGTGGGAGCATTGAACTGACCGTTGCCTTCACCATGAGAGCCAAATTTAAACAAGAACTCTCCATCTGCATTGTACACCTGGGACAGGAAGTCAGTGAATTGAAACACTTTGTCCACCTCTTTGATGCACATATTCAATGTGAATTACGGACTGAGCATGTCTTACCTTCACAGAGTGATTGTGGAAATCAGTTACGATGATTTCATTCTTGTTGTTCACTGCAACAAAGTGCGGACCTATAGGGAGAGAGAGACGAGTTAATGTGAAGTTCACTCTACTTGTAACAGAATCACATTCCCGTACTTATCACCATTCTCTTGACTGTTAGTTGGTCGTTTGAACCACAATTTCAGCTCTAATTAACTTAGTTTGATCACATGGTTAGCTGTACTGATTTGCGATTGGCATACTTTTCATGCATTAGATGCTTTACGCGAGTTGTTTCATAATTTTCAGAATGTCAAAACAGTCAAATTAGATTATTGGGAAAGGCACAAGACTTTGAGATTTACCATCAACATTCCTGGGTAGCTACTGTATATAAAGTGAAATCTATTGCCTATTAGATTCCTAATAAAAAGTTCTGTAGCTCCCAACACTGATTATCTTAACAGGAAACATCATTTAGTTTCATGGGACAGGGCAGTACAAATCCTTCACACTAATCTCTTCCTATTCATGTAGGCTAAAAACAATGCACATGACAATATGGTCAATATTGTAATAGTAGGTGATTATTACAATAGCATGTAATTGCATATCTTATTCTTATTGTACAGGCAAAGCTTGGATTTGTCAAGAATCTGAGTTGTCAGGAGGGCAGACACATGATCAGGGATCGGGTTAGACAGAGGGCACCGCACTGTGGTGGGATTAAGGTTGCAGCAAGGCCACACTTAGTACTTACTGAACACTGAGCCAGATTTATTAAAGTATGGGCCAAGTTTTTCTAGATTGAAAAACAGGAGGAAGAAAACAGAAAGAAAGGAAAATAGGTAGTCAGAGATAAATGATAACAGAGAAGAAAAAGGAGTAGTTTGATCCGCACAGACGCAGTTTGTGGGGGGAGCGGGGGGGGCCGCTGCGTCACCTGGGGCTTTACCTAGAAGTATACAGTCTTACATGTTCAAACAGAATGTTACATGGGATGCAATGGTCTGTATTCAGACATAAAAAGTGGAAAATATCGTGGCAGTAACTGACGGTAAAGGTGTCAACAAAACCTTGTTGAGTGTTCAATTATTACTTATGAGAGATGAACTTAAAAAGCAGGCAGACACTCTTGCATCATTGACAGATCTCTTCATTGAAATAGAGAACATTGATTGATAGCACTTCTTCATTAGTTGCATATTGAGGCCTTGGTCTCACCTGCAAACTGTCTGTCTGACGTCCCCCTGCCTCCAAACTTAGTCACCAACTTCCCATTGGATTGAAAGATAAAGACACAGCATGCCTTGTTGTCCACAGTGATGATGTGTCCATTCTTGTCCACGGCGACACCCTTAGGACCCATGAGCCGGCCTGCACCAATCTTATTCTGTCAGGGAGAGAGACAAAGAGGTCATATGTCAATGTTATAACCTTTTCTTCCAAGGCTATTGTTTGAGCACATTACTCATTTGACTTCAGGACTGTCTAGCTTGAGATCTGACCTTAAATTTGCCATCAGACGAGAAGATGCTGACCCATCGATTGTCATAGTCGGCCACCACAATGTCACCGTTCATGTCCACGGTGACGCCTGTCGGCCTCTGCAGTTGTCCCGGAGACCGACCTCTGACCCCAAAGCGCATCTTGAACTGGCCGTCGTTGGAGAATATCTGTAATCAGTTCCATCTTACTGTGAGTCAAATGTGTCATGAACACAGTATAACCATATTTTGTGACCACAAATACATTCATGGTTGCACTTACATGCACTTTCCTCTGTGTGTCTGTCTCACCTGTATGCACTGGTTGTTGCTGTCGGCAACCACAACTCTGCCGTTACAAGAGGCTGAGATTCCCTGCAGATTTGTGAACTCCCCTTTTTCTCTGCCACGGGAACCTGACGGATAAATAATAAAACACTCAGTTGATGTGCTACTCCATGTTTAAAATGTTGCTTTAATGGCTCATACCAGTGGTTTTGGACTACAATTAGCTGGTGATTTGTGTTTATTTCAGTACAGTTAAAAAAATATCATAAATACTTGTCCTGCTTGAGAAAGATAGTCCATAGTGAGAATGGTTTACCTTCAGCAAGCACAATCTAAAACAAACAGAGTCCACTTTGAAGTAAGCAAAAATATAAGCTTGTGATCTTCTGTCAACCTGCTGTAGCTTGTAGAATAAAAAAAATGTTTTGATGTGACTTCTTCTATCAAGTCACAGCAAGACATTTTACTCTGTAGTCTATTAAAAAGTGAAAACAGAAGCTACCTAGAGGGGAAGTTGTCAATCTCAAACATGATGCAAGCTTTAGAAAGTTTGCTTTGTTAATAAGTGTGATGTCTTCATGGTACTTGGTTTGACGATTCAAGGTTTCAAGGCTTTTATTGTCATGTGTGCATAGCTACAGTGTAGTTGTGACAATGAAAATCTTAGGTCACAGGCTCCTCCAACAGTGCAACTGTCCCTTAGTCTGGTGGTTTTAGAGCTGATGCTGCAGTAACGCCGTGTACACTGCAGTACTGTCTCTCCTGGACTTACCCACTCTGTAGATGAGCTCGTCCTCAATGGGGTTCTCCTTCTTCTTGGTGGTGCTGTACATGCTGGAAGGCCGACGCACTGCTTTCTGCCGTATGTGTCCTCCTGTGCCGCTGGGAGACTTCACCCTTCTCTTCACGTCATCCGGAGATTGAGGCACATCTGAGGGCTTGATCGCTCGCAGGCGGAAAGGGCTGCCACGCAACGGCTGGCCGTACAGCAACAGAGAGAAAGAGTACTCTCCCTCCACTCGTAATGTGTAGCCCACCTCATATGTCCCATTCTTATTGTCCGCTACGTCTGCCTCTGTAATGCGGCTCCCGTCAGCAGATGTTATCTCTGCTTTTAAAACAGCATTTCCCGTCCGCACCAGCTCTCCATCCTGCAGAGAGAGGATGTTCATTACATGTAACAACAATACGCACATGGCTGCAGCCTATTAAAGCTGCATCTTCTACTGACGGGGATTCTGGGATGCTGCAATGATCTGTTTGGTATTTCAAGCCAAACACTTCAGAGACATGTTTGTATATATCTGAGACCTATTATATATTGATGAAAAACAGTATAATAGGGGACCTTTAACGCTTCTACTGACACTGACACTCTTTTCAAGTTTGTTTGTGGTACTAATAATCATTCTTCAATTGCCTTTGTAACCAAAGCGTCCAGAGAAAATATCAGGAAATTGGAATTAAAATGGAAAACAAAATGAAAGTGTGTGACTAAAGTACATTCGCAAACTGATTAAAGAAAAAGCATAATGTTAATCTGCTAGCAATATCAAGAGTTCACTCCACACATGTAGGAAATGGCAGTTAGGATAAGCGTTAACAACAGTACTTTGTCTTTCGTTGTCACAGTAACCGTGTGGTGCTGCCCGGTGGCTGCGTGGCGGAGGCCCTCTCCCGTGGCGACGGAGGTGTGAGCCACAGCGGCGGTGGTGAGGAGGACACCCAGGTTCTGGATGGAGCGCCGGAGACCTTCAGTTTCCACCTGGAGCAGAAAGCAGAGAGGATCATATTTCCACCACAGACAATATTTTTCACTACAGGTTCCCCTAATGCTAATTCTACTTTTTTACAATAGAAAATACAATGAATTATTATGATATACTTTACCATGAATTTGTTGTATTAAATACTATACTATGACTTTTTTACTTAATTCTTACATTCTAATTACTTTTATGTGACAGACTAAACTTGTTCTGGATGAAGAATGTAGTAGTTCCCCAATACTAGATCCCCAAGAAAGTATAGAATGAATGGAGTAATTAAACAAAAAACTATTTCAATAAGCAAACTCTCACAATCAAAAAGATTAAATCATGAATTGACCATGTTGGATTATCAGTCTGACCACCAGAATAAAAATGCACAGATAAAATAAACCACACATGTAATACCTGACAGTCCAGATGTGCGTTCTGATGTGGTTTCTCTGGGAAATCATGTCTGGCCAGTGCTGTGACCCGCTCACTCATCTGCTTCTGAACTAGCAGCACCTGGCGAGAGACACATCATTTTTATTTGTTATCCAAAACTCTTCTTCATTATATTATGTTCCCATCTGTGGTTGTTAGCTTGCTCACCTCAGTAGCACTCCCATGGCTGAGAGCCTGCTCTGTAAAGCTGCTACTGCTCTGGATGTGGTCCTTCCCTTGGAGGAGAGACGAAAGCTGGGCCTGCAGGACCTGCACTCAGGTGAGAGGAAGTTAAGAAAACAGAAACAATCAAAGAAAGAAATAGTAAAGAACAGCATGCTGAAATATGTTTGCCAGGATTGTAAGACATATGGCAGGTCATGCTTGAATGATAAATGCCTGTGTGTGATCCTGCACTAGACAATGAGCATGCACATTTGCAGGTGCAGTTGTCTGAGTGCATCCATGGTACATGTGAATATGTGAACTATATACCTTCTGTTTAGTGCTGCAGATGTTCTCCAGGTCTGTGATGAGGGCGGTCTTGCGCTGATGCAGCGCCCGTTCCAGCTCTTCAAACGTACTGGTGATCTCTGCCACCGCCTCGTTCTTCCTTTCATTCAGCTGGCGGGAGATCTCACTCACCAGCTCGATGGATGATGTTAGCTGAGGGAGTCTGCAAGATGACATTATGTGAACAGAAATTGTATGAAAAACGAGCTATAAAGCTACAAAAATGGTTCTATAACCAGTTAAGCCCCAAGCCTGTTTTTCAGGTCTGACATTCCCAGAACAAATGACCATATCTTCACTTCTAAAAGGGGTAAATTAATAATCTTTTTTCTCAAAGCAATGATAAACCTGTGAGTTGGATGTAAAAAAGTCAAAATCAATATAGATTTTTTTTTATTTTAAAGTAAATTCAGATTGAACATAGTAAAAAAAATTTAAATTATTGTGTCCGTCCAAAATAAAAACATTACTTACAGTGAAAACCACGCTTGAATGATGGGATAGTAGACTAAAAGCTTTAGGAATCCAAACTATAACATATAATAAGTACCCTGTATCAAGATTGATGCAAAACAAGTGGTATGTGACCTTTTTAGAGAGGTTTAGCAACACACAAAAACACTTCTGGGGTCATTTGGGTGGATTTGCCATATCTCTGGCCCCCCTCGGTCGATTTTGATGATTGACACCTCTTTTGAACCGTTAGAGCCAATAGAATCGAGGGGAAGTTCCTAAATCCACCTACACGTTACCATTGAGGAATGAGAGTGATGCGCACGCAGCTTGCCCAAACCCAAACCCAAACTATGTTACGCTCTGAAAACTGAAAACTGAAAACTAGGTTATAGCCATAAATATGATGATGGACATTGGATTAACCTTCAGCAGCATTTTTATCGTTTTAATGCCATTGAACACAACTTTTGATCAGAAAACAGCAAAGGTAAGACATATTTGCCGTTTTGGCTCCGTAAAGCTACGTGGTGTGTTGTCTGGGTTTGCCTTCGCTGCCCTGAGTTTTGGCTGATATCTTGTTTGTGCAGATCTGATAAGTAATAAAGTATTTCTACCGTGAGTTCTGTGCTAAGTGCGTTATAGGCTTGCTATTACCCTTGTGTTTCGTTTAGCTAATATATTGTAAATATTGTCTGATAGCTGAGTTTCTTCCCGTTAAGTGGGTATGACACATTCATAGTTTGTTAAATGTTAAGAAGCCCTCAGACGTTGTTTCTTGCAAGATGTTGCGTTTTGGTACCGGGGGCATGGGGCTTAACTGGTGGACATGGGCCTTTGCCGCTATAATCATAACATGCTTTTTATCTTTATGGTTTGTTGCACCTATTGTAAGCTGATTTGGATAAAAGCGTCAGCACAATGTGATGTAATGCTTTGACTTCAAGTGTGGTATATTCTGAAAGCTTTATTTAGGTCTCAAGTCCCCACCTGCTCATAATGGTGTCCAGCTGTGTCTTGAGCGCAGCCTTGTGCTGTTCCACGACGTCCCGCAGAGGAACGGTCACGTGTTCCCTGTGCTCCCCCGATGTACAGTCCAGACACATGGCTGTCTCACAGGACTCGCAGTAGAACTCCATCACCTGCAGGGGGAGACAAACTCCTTCACTCTTGCTGGGCTTTGCAGCAGATATGTAGGGACTTTAGTATTTTGTTTCTTTGACAATTGCTAAAAGAAATGATGACTGGGCATCACAAAGTTCTTCCCACCTTTCCCTCATGGTTGGGGCAGCAGAGGGGCTTCCCTGCGGCCGCAGCGTTGACGGACTCCAGGACGCTGCAGGCCTCAGGCCGCGAGCACTCGGGGTCTCTCTGAAGGACCTGGTTGAAAACATTTAAAATGTCATTACGCTGCTTTTAATAGATACAACAGACATTTTCTAATGAACTTAGTCCAGCAGATATGTGACATTTTGAAAATGGCCGCCATTGGCGCCATTGGACAAATATGCGATGGCCCTATATTCAAATATCTTCCTTTAGGGCATGCTCTAACAGTGTGCCAAAGTTCATGTTTTTATCATCAAAAGCACAATTCATTCACATATCTGCTGGACTAACTGTAGTGGGGTGGTTTATTTTCTATTTTATAAATATTTAACAGGGCTTACTTTTTCCTTATTTGGCAGTGGACAATTAAGAGGTGGGGTAATGATTGAACAAATATTGCTGCAGAATTCAATCGAACTGATGACTTTACGGTATATGTTAATGAGAACTAAGATACTTCTTTCTTTGTCCTCAAACCTTGTAGTCAGTTTACTTAATCTTTTCACGACACAAACATACATTGATGTACTTTTTCAGCTCCCTCCATTCAATACACCCATTCCATAGAATCTGAATGCTAACATGAATCCTAACCTCTACATGCACAATGGAAACCTTACATTTAAAACCAACCTTAAAAAGAGCCCCTTGTGAAAAAAGAAAAGAAGAACTGACGATGACCTCAGTCTGCAAAAATGTCCTCCCTCTGCACAAAGAGTGGTACTCCAAAAACAGCGTTACAGGAACACAACCAGAGCCTCCCCCCATTCCTTTGAGTATCTTTCATTATTTGTAATTAATCCTTGCTTTGTTGTTAACCTCATAATTAATCTGCGTTCTGTCATTTGATCCCTGTGACACACTTGACCTTTCTGTTTGGCTAATACATTTGTGTTTGACTAGAGCTAATAAAAGGGATTAAGATTCAAACCTCCATGAGATTTGTGATGAAGAAGTTGTTTTGTAGAGCAGAAACCCCTTTCTCCGGCAGAATGGACGTCTGTCGACACACTGGACACGAGAGTGTGAGGGACTCTGGGGGAATGTAGTTCTGAAGACAACTGGAGGAGGTAAACAAATACAGAAAAAATGATTAAAATATCTATCAAAGCAATTACTTTTTCTTGTTTTATTGTATAATTCAAATTTCTATTCTATTAATCAATTTAAAGCAGAGAGAGAAGATACTAGCAAGAGAGAGCTTATCACAGTCATTGAGAGATAGTGCCTAAATAGTGCTGCTGTCACAACAAATAGGAGGAAAGTGGGATTTCGTGTCAATCTACACAACCCAGATCCTTGGAGAACACACTTCCTCTTTGAGAAAGTGGATCTTTAGTGGAAATCAATGTGTCTAACAGAAACACAAAGAGTAGATAAGATGTTTGTTTGTTTATGCCTCTGCATGTCTGTCTGTGTGCATGTGTTTTGGACTCCGGCCTCATGCTGTGATCAGTCTCACATTTATCCATTTATCAATTGCCCTTTGGAGGCAATCCATTCAACATTAGACAACCTTCAAGGCAGAATGAAAGCGACAGTCAGCAAAGTTGAGCCGCAGTATGCAAACCGCTGGACCGCACTCTTGGCCTTGACTCAGCCCGATAGCCAACCCAGAATGAGATGTATGGTTGTTTCTCTAAACTTCTGTCATCACTATTTGTGATTGACGCAGGACGTAACCTGAGGTCGGTGACTCTGTTGTTGAACACAAGGATGCCGGGCAGCTTCTCTGTTTGCATGCTAACATTTTGTTTACTTTTTGAGCCCAGTGTGACCTGATTAACTGGGCCTTGGTAAACTGCAGCAGTGTTTAGCTTGATAACAACGGTGAGCTTTAACAAAAGTCTATATCTACAGTTTCATTCCACAGGCCATACAACTGTTAAACACCTGCACTTTTGAAAGAACATCCATAACATTCATCTGTTTGCAACTTACAAATTATTTATCTAATATATCATATTCCAAAAAATGTCATCCAATTCAAGTTAATTTTTTCCCAAAATGTTGGCCCTAAAAATGATCAACACCATATTTGTATCCATATAAAACGATATTATTTACTGAATTTAGGCAGCTAATCAAATTCAATTGTGAATAACTTGCTAACCACTACACATATCCTAAAATCCTGCAATCCAGAGTACAAGTTGCCACACACCCCTATTGTAGAAAGACTTAATTTATATTGGCATCATCTAAAACAGTTGCACAATCCATGCCAAACTCATGACCCTGATCTCTGAATATAAGCACAGGACTAGGATAATCGCAAAAGAGTAAAAGGAAGCAGAATTAAAAGCGATGCAATAGCCGTGGCCCAGCATGGGATCAACCCACCCAGTATTAAAACATCTGTCTGGCAACATCATCTATAGCCCCAGACATAAATCTGTTCACCTCAGCAGGGATCCAGATCACATGCCATCCAGTTAAACCGGGGATTTAACTTGCCCTCGGGTGGGCAAAGGCCCCTCACACTGCCTGTAAAAAGGATTTATACTGTACTCTGTGTGGCTATTCAAAACTGTTCCATAAATATTGGTTTGATCAAAGGTTTGGAAGTAAACCAGTTTGAAACATAATGTCCTCTGTACCTAACAACATGCCCTCCTCTTCATTCTCCATGTTCCCACCCTGTCCCACAACAAGCTTTTCAAAAGCCTCCTCTGCTTTGCCAGGCACGAAAAAGGCCCCAGTAAGTATTGCTGGAGGGGGTGTCATCTTTCTAAGAAACTGTAGATTGAGGAATTGTTATTGTGTCTCCCAACAATGAGCCTTTTCTCAGACTTTGACGGTCCCTGATGCTGAGGAATGCACTTATCCCAGCTAGAGTCGGGGAGGAGAAGTGCTGTGAGCTGTTTAATTGTGGCCAGGGATTTGCAGAAGATGAGGTCCCGCTATTTGGAGACATGTAAGTATGACAAGAATTCTTCAATAAAAGGATGGGAGGATAATTACTGGAAGGGACATAGCAAGAGTGGTGTATCAACTTCTTTGCAAGGCCAGAAAAAGTTATATGTAGCAGATGGTGTGAGCAGAGACTGGGGTTTGTGGGAAATTAGGACTTCATTCATCGTTGAAACAGAGCACAAATGTTAGTTACCTTTCACAGAAGGTGTGCAGACAGGGCAGCACCTTGGGGTTGTGGTAGTGATCCAGACAGATGCTGCAGACCAGAAACTGTTTGTCTATCTGACGCACCACAGGGCTGGTGCTCCCCGCCTCACGCTTTGCCATAGGAGAGGACATTTGAAGCCACGGACAACGACAGCGGTTAACCTGCAGAGAAACAAAGATGAAAGCATTAATATCAGGGCTGCTAATGCTCTGTAAACTGACCACAGGAGGTACCAGGAACCAAAGTTAACAAAGCTGCTTGATTTAGAACAACAACTCATCCATTGTTATTGTGTTTTTTCTAGGTTAATACCACAAAAGCTAGCGGAAAGAGACCTCTGTGAAATAGAAGTAATCAGTAAACAGACTGAAACTGATGTAGAGAAACCAGTATGGCCCTGTGCCTGGCTTTTGATGAACATCTTGGATAACGCCAAAACAATCAAATAAACCAGACAACAAGTGCAGACTGTGGTTCAGAAGGGGCCTTCTATTATAATCAAGCTTTACTGGCCACACATGCTACCCAAACTGAACACACCTGTTGTGATATTACACACACACATACACAAGGGAAAACTGAATGTGCAGAGTAGCGTCTATGTTTTTCTATTTGTGTCTGTCTGTCTATATTTACAAGTTGCGAGTGAGTTCTCACTCTGCTAAACTCTCTCCATCTAACCATATGCTTTTATAACATTCAAAAGGAAATGTGAACAGAGCACCATTTTACATCTATAGTCTTTGATTAAGAGTTTGCTGTATAAGTGAAACTTTAAAGTGCTGTATGTTTAAAAATGACTGATACTTTCTGTATTTAATGATCTGTCAATCGTTATAATCCTGCATTTAAATGTGTTGGCTAGGCACCATTTAGCTTCAATTTAAAAAAGGGATAACGTTGCCTTTTAACACAGTTTAATTCTGTCAGGGTTAGAAATTGCTTTATAATTTATGTGCAAAGGATGTCATGTTTGCACTCATTTGAATAACTCATGGAAAAAAATGATGCCACACTTAAACAAACACTCTGAATATAAAGCCATGTATACATGTAGCTGACAATATAAGATAGATCAGAGCTCTGTGAGGAAGCCCCATGCCTTACACAATCACATCTATAATAGAAATACAGCTTGAATTGTTGATATTCTGCCTGGCAACACAAACACAGTGTTAACTCCAACTTGACCCACTTTCACATTTATCAGTGCGAGCATAAACACATTAATTACAGTGGTGCGTTAAAAATGCTTCTGCAGCATGTTCTCAAAGCTATGCACAACATGTGCAAATTATGTTGGAAGATCAAGTGTTATCTATTGGAGAAATGTCCTAAAACATAAAATATACACATGCAATGAAAAGAGACCATAACATATTTTAGTTGGAAAACAGTGTGATTTGACTTTTGGTCTAAAATTGCCACCTTTGAGGAATTCTGTGCATACCATTTCTATTTTTGTGTTGCTAACCTGCTTCAGCAATGAAGTCGAGTCACATTTTCTCAGTAGGTGAACACGTTAATTATTAATACATCAGACACAGTGTCTCAGCACGTCTCAGAAAAAACAAACATTCCTGGCCTTAAGATGTACAGTATTTGAGGACATTACACACTCATTGATGAGGACAGACACAACGCACACAAAAAAAACCACACTGACAATCATCATCCCCCCACCACACCCGCACATCTGTCACTGCTGGATACAGCTCCCAATCCCTGCCATTTTACACATGTCAGTTGTTGCCCACTGCCCACAAACACAGAGGATCCACTGACACACAGACTGTGAGGATAAAAGGTAACTTCTTAAGCTGTCAACCATAAGAGTGACATGTCACATTCACACTTTGGTAAGGGATTGGCAGGGCGTCTAACATAAATGATTACAGGTAAGTAGCTTATGCTTTGTCTGAATCTAAACATGCATTGTTCTCTATAAGCCCTGCACTCTAAACTGGCATTTTGTGATTATCCAGTTGTCACTGTTCGATACTGATGAAAAGAAGGTTAAATGTCTCTCAAAAGAACGCAGAAATAATTAGGGATAAGCCACAGGATGTACCGTACTTGAGTGCTGTTCCCTGTGATTCTCTTTCTCTGCTAGAACACACTGATACTAATATCATAATGACGACTTTCTAAATTTAGACATGTGTATAAGTGGGTAGGCAAAGAAGCAATGACGATGAAACTAAAATAATACTGCGGCTCTTAGGACTGCTGGATACTGTAGCAAAGTTGCTGGTACTTATTTATTTACTGTTGGGTGTATTTTAAAACATCTTTTTATAGGATGGACCAAAGCAAAGAAGAATCTGGAGTCCAATAAATCCCGATGAGGAATTCTGTCTCGAAAACATTTGGATAAATAAAAGTAGCTCAAATGCTAAAACCATCTGTTTTGAATCACTCACTTGCTCTTGTATGTTCCCACTTTACTTTAAGTTGAGGGAAAAAGTTCAACATGCACATAGTGGTCATGCTTTCGAGCAGATGAGTGGATGCTCATATGTTTATACTTATATGCATTCAACAGACTGTGTTTTGGTCCCAACTTGGCCACTTAAACGTCTAAGTAGGCCACGATGCTTCGATTTGATGCTCTAAAGTAACCATGACCATTTAAGTGACAGCTTGGGAAGTTCAAAAAGTGAGTGAAGACATGCAAATTTAAGGCGCTGAAGTTAGAGGCAGCAGAGTGGGATCAAGCCAAGCCCAGGCAGGAAGCAAAAATGATGCATGAGAGGACATATCCTGCAGAGGACTGTCAACTAATGCCATCAATATGAAATGTGTTATATTTCTCTGGGCCATTTTATACACAGTAATAACAGCACATGTTGCTGGTGACCCTCACTAATTCCTCAATCTTTCAGGATTACAGTTTGTGTGACAGATTGGTCGTGTGTATGTTAAAGAGCATGAGGGCAGCATGTTGTGTGACAACAAGCTAACAGCCACAGAGTTAGCACACAATGAGCCCATTCACCAACAGAAGGCTTTACCGAATACAAAAGTAACTGTTTTCTTTGTCCCGTTCAGCGCTCTGCTGTAGCTTTACTGTACAATAAGATCCTCATAGCTGTGTGACTGTTATAAAACACATGTGAAAATGAAGAGTAAGACAGGAAATGTAACCTTTCCTTCCCAGTTGAGTATAGGAAAGGGACGCACAGATTCAAAAGAAAAGTAGTAAACACAGCCATTCACTGTCACGCAGCACCAATTAAACTGTATAAACTCTGACAAACACACACTTCTCTCTACTAACAACTGAGCCTAAATTGTAAGTTGCACACATGACTATGAGGAAAACACACAGAGTTGACAAAAAGACTACCTACTGTCAGTAGAGTGCAGTATCAATCTAGAAGGCTCCATGGCAGCTCTGTGTTAACTTGAAAGAATCAGCTCACGCCCTGACTCACACTGACTCCCCCCCCCCCTCCCCCCTCGGTCCTGCTGACCATACTTCCTTTTCCCTTTTCCTTCTGTTGCTTTTCCTCTTCCCACCACCACAACACAAACACACAGACTGAACAAGGCTGAACAGGGATGACAACAGAGGGTGGGACTGTGAATTGAAAGTCCCTCCTCCTGTCAGTGCTGTTTACAAGCATGAACTGACTGGATTCCCTCCTACTCCTGCGCTCCGATTGTCCATGAAACTTAAACTATCAGGGAAGAGAGATTGCATCATAGGCCAACAATGTGTGCTGGTCAGAGGGAGTGAGAGGGAAAGATTGAAACAGACAAGAAAAAGAAAAAAGTCAAGGCTGAAAGGACATGGATCTTACATCCAGAAAGGAATTGCACATACAATCTTAAAGGTAGGGTAGGTAAGTTTGAGAAACCGGCTCGAGATACACTTTTTGTTATAATCCATGGAATGCTCTTAACATCCCGATAGCAATGAATATCTTAAGTGCTTTGACAAAAAATCCATAAAAAAATGTCATCTGTGGAAGCCGTAATACTGTAAAAAGCACGACCAATCATTTTAGCCGGCCCGGCTAAAATAACTGGATGGCCTACCTGCCTGTCAGCCTTCCATCTGTGCACAAACTTATCTCGTGCCCTCATTGGTCATGTGCGCGTTCGTGTGTGTTGGAGGAGGGGCTCTGTAAGGAAGTGGCAGATTTTCTCCGGTTGTGTATTTTCAAATTCTAGCGATCTCGAGCATCTCGAGCCGGTTTCTCAAATGTACCTACCCTACCTTTAACCTGCTGAATATCATCTGTGAAATGTAAACACTCAAAAGGATGATTATTAGGCACGGACGCTGGCTTAGTTCTTGAATGCAGCTTGCTCCTATTAGCGAAAAAGCAGCTGAAGAGTGACGTTCATCTGGCCTCCAGTTACAGTTATGAAGAAACACGTCATTATTTAGCCAGCCAAGTTCACACGTGCAGCCAAACAAAATGTAGAGTTACATAATTCCTGATGTCACCATCAAAATAAATAAAATCCCCCAAAATGAGAGTTTGGAACAGAGGCCTCTCCGCAGATATCAAATTACACATAAAGAGGGATAAGGAAAAGACCCTTAATATGGAAAAGGGGATTATCCTTTTTATTTTAAGGTAAACTATCTTGTCACAGAATGATTTTGCACCCAATCCCTTAAACTACCCGTCCTTTCGAGTGGTCATAGTTTAATCTGGGGAAAGAGATGACGATTCTCTGACAAAAACATCAATTGAAATTAATCTGTGCGGATTTGTTGTGTCCTCTCTCTGCCCTCGCTTCAGGCTCTGCTTCCTCCATGCTCACACACGCACACCTTTCCAAAATCCCATCCTTACACTCACAGGCCAGATGGCCCACATGGTTGTAACAGGAAGTAAAGTATAAAGATGAAAAACCATTCAGAAAATGAAATGTATAGTAATGTGCCACTACTGTTTTACAACTGTTTTATATAAAGCTTAATCAACTTGATAGTAGTGAAAAGATCTGGGGCCTCATTTATAACGCCTTGCGTAGGATTGACGTAGGAAGGTTGCTTACGTAGTACAAAGCACAAAAATAGGTACATACATTTTCCGATTCACAAAACATTGCGTACCGGCGAGGGAAGTGCGTACGGCACTCCCTACGCCTGTTTCCCTTGATAAATCACAATCGACTCGTAACGCCCATATTTGCCTAT